TTGCGATGCTCGCATCCTTTTAAATCTTTAAATTTCACTATTTGCTACAAAAATAATACAGGTGAAGCACTTTTATCCAGTGCATTTGAAACTAGAACACATTAATTTCATGTCAGTTAATTTCAAAAAGGGTTATTAAAGCAAGGAGTATGATAAAGAAATGAGAGATGCTTTAAGTATTTTAACATATATTTATTTTTTTGTGTTTGCAAATTTTTTAAATTAAGAGCACTTATGGAAGTAATCTGAATACAACGTCTCTCTAGATTTTTATGATTTTCCCCCTAATATTTTACTTTCTCCCACAGCGACAGCCATAGGAACAAATATAACTGATTCTTACAGGCAAGAGGTCCACTGGTGGGGACGGGTATGCCAGGTGCACTGGAGAAAACCTACTAATCAAAAGTTTTCAGGGGCACCTGGGTGGCTCAGTCGGTTAAGCATCTGCCTTTGGCTCGGGTCATGATCTCAGGATCCTGGGATTGAGTCCCACATCCGGCTCCTTGCTCAGCGGGGAGCCTGCTTCTCCCTCTCCCTCTGTCTGATGTTCCCCCTGCTTGTGCTCTCTCTCTCTGTCAAAATAAATAAATAAAATCTTAAAAAAAAAAAAGCTTTCAGAGTGCAGGAGGCAACAAGTCAGTTAAATGGATACAATTTAAATTAAAGAGCTCTATACATGTTCACTGTGGAAAATTTAGTAAATATGATAAGCAAAAAACCAAAAATCAGGAATTTTAATATAGAATAATCCCTAAGTTTTTGGTCTACTTCCTTTGCGTATATGAAATATATATACACACATACATATATATGAAGTACATAGATACTAATATTATGCTATATAGACTATGTAATGAAATATGCATTATGTGTTATACACATACACTTTAACAAAGAACAGCCTCATGCTATGTATACTGTTTATAGTACTTTTTCATCTACATATACTGACACTTCCGTTAAGCTTCTCCTACAACATTGTCTTGTAATGGCTGTTGGCAAACGGAGATTAGTTGACAACACTGTGTCGTTGTGCCTCAGAGGACCAGAGGTTTGCAGAGTTAGAACACTAACATTTCAGGGCGCCTGGGTGGCTCAGTCGTTAAGCGTCTGCCCTCGGCTCAGGTCCTGGGATCGAGCCCCGCATCGGGCTCCCTGCTCGGCGGGAAGCCTGCTTCTCCCTCTCCCACTCCCCCTGCTTGTGTTCCCTCTCCGGCTGTCGCTGTCTCTCTCTCTCTCTCTCTCTCTCTCTCTCTCTCTCTCTCTCTCAAATAAATAAATAAATAAAATCTTTAAAAAACCCCAAACAACACTAACGATTCAGGAATGCGAATAACGATAGGGGAATGTCCCATGAGGAACTAGGCGGCTTCGACTCCACCTTCAATACCCGAGGGGTGGGTGTGGTGATGAGTAGCTTCACCTCCCGCTGTCCTCCGGGGGCTGGGGGGGGGGGGGGGGGGGCAAGCAGTTTCCAGTTAGGACAGGGGTATAAGGAAAGTTTAAAGAAGAGGGTAGGAATGCAGAGAGGTTTGTTAATCATGGAGCAGAATTCCAGAGGTGACAATGGAAGGATCTGGGAGGCAGAGGGAAGGGATACGGGATTGGGTCTGCCAGAAGAAACCAGAACAATGGAAGGAGGGTCCGAGAGAAAACAGATTGCCAGGCTGGGTGTAGGATGTACCTAGAGGTGCGGAGGGGACGGACCTCTTTCTCTGGCTCAGCCAGAATAGCAGTGGCCATGTGTTCTTGGGAGTGAGCAGCATACCTTGCGCCGATGCCCATGCCATTGCTCTAGAGTAGCATGAAAAGTCTGGTGGGCGGTGACCTCTGTGAGCTGACGTAGGTTCACTAAGAGAATGTTTTCAACAGGGCTACTAATTTGAGAACAGTGACGGTAACCCTACATATTTACTATTGGACTTGTCCCGCTAGAGGTGTAGTTTTGTACACGTTACTAGAAGCTGCGGAAAGTGCAGCGGATCACCCTGCAGGAGAAAACAGCCTGAGAAAAAGGCTCTGGGCAGACCTGCAGAGCACTAATATTTTAGAGATGGGCAAAGAAGAGGAGCTCCCGGCAAATGACTGAGGTTGAGTAGCCAGTGAGTTAGGAGAAAAGCGGGATCTTGCAAACAGAGCCCAGGAAAGAATGTGGGTTTTTTTTGTTGTTGTTGTTCTGTTGTGTTTTGTTTTTGGGGGGGGGTAGGGAGAATGTGTTTTTAAGGAGTGGCCATTGGGGACAATGCTTTGGACATGGTCTGTCTGGATTTTAGCCACAAATCTGAAGGTTTCCTACTTCATAACACAGCAGTTGAGAACTTCAGTAGGATTCGGAATAGAACCCTATAGCAATTCATATAACTACCCTCCAGACTGAAAGTGTGTTTTGATTGATGAGTTTATTAGCTTATTAGACATAGTATGGAACCTCCTAACTGTTGTATTAGTGCAAACGTATCTTTTACATATTCATTTCATCTCTGTTCTTTCCTGTGAGCCTGCAATCCTCTGACTACAAACCCAAGCACATGTGTAGCTCCTTGCATGGCAATAAATATTCATGAAATGGTCATTAAGTCATTCAAAATATGCTAACAATTTTCTCTGGGTTCTAAGAAGAAAAACACAAACTGAAAAAATGTTCAGAAAATGTGTGCCCTCAAGAGCAGATCTGCTTATCTTCAGAGATTTACACTCAGTTTGTAAGGTTGCCTTGATTAACTGAAGGTGAATTGATTGTGGGCGTGAAGGATTTTTTTTTTTCTTTAAAATTTGGAAGAACTTCCATGTGAAAAAGGGAAGAAAAGCAGTTTTTGGCTCAATATAAAATCACCAGTTGGATTCATTGAGAGAGAATGCCTCTCCTCCAAGCCGAGACTTAAGGGAACCACTCATTTAGGGCTTTATAAAGGGGATTTTTTTGTTTTGTTTTTGTTTGTTTGTTTGTTTGCATTATGTGAGTGACAAGATCATTTTAAAGATCTTTTTCTAGTGTAAGATTTCATGAGTCTATGAAATAACTAGGTACCTAGCCTTTAAGAAATAGAGAAGGAAATATAACATTGATTTTGTAGTTCTACCTATTTCTATTTTTTTTTTAAGATTTTATTTATTTATTTGACAGAGAGAGAGTTAGCGAGAGCAGGAACACAAACGGGGAGAGGGAGAAGCAGGCTTCCCGCTGAGCAGGGAGCCCGATGCAGAGCTCGATCCCAGGACCCTGGGATCATGACCTGAGCCGAAGGCAGACACTTAACAACTGAGCCACCCAGGCGCCCCTATTTCTATTTTTTATGTAAAATATATATTTTTAAAGATTTTATTTATTTATTTGCCAGAGAGAGAGAGAGAGAGAGAGAGAGAGCATGAGTGTACAAGCAGGGGGAGCGGCAGGTAGAGGGAGAAGCAGGTTCCCCACTGAGCAGGGAGCCCGATGCTGGACTTGATCCCAGGGCCCTGGGATCATGATCTGAGCGGAAGGCAAACGACTGAGCCACCCAGGCATCCCTTTTTATGTAAAATATTTAAAAATCTCAAATAATTAAGAGCACTATAATTATCCAGAATCTCAGCCTTCTAACAATTCTTTTCAGTTTGAGGTGTTTCCTTTTACGATCTATCAATGGGCATAGTTGTTTTTACAAAGGTACACTCATAGTTCTGTCTCCTTTTTTTTTTTCCTAGTGACTTTAGCTATCATGAGATAAATTTAAAGAAGTAAGTGTGTTTTCTTGGATTGTGGTAGTCTTTAATCCTGAGATGTGGTGGGTAGGAGCAATGCATTAAAAAAGTCTAAGCCTGCAAAGACTTACTTGAAAAAACTGATTTTTTTTTTTTTTTTTTGGTTTGTGGGTGTTTCCTAAATTGTTTGTACTGTTTTCTTTCCCCCTTGAATTAGTTGATCATGGCCTTGCCAGATTGGTGACAATATACTGTGAACATGGTCATAAAGCTGCCAAAATCAACCCCCTCTTCAGTGGACAAGCCTTGCAGGAGAATGTGCCTGAAATCCAAGCTCTTGTGCAGACCCTGCAGGGACCCTTTAATACCACAGGTAAAGCTCTTTGACACTGACTGTCCATGTGACAGTTAACTGCCAACACGAGGTAGGGCTCCTTTCTCTGTTCTTGAAGAATCCACATGCCCACTGGAGCTGCGGCTTCCAGGGGATGTGAGTTGACAGTGAGGGGCACATTCAAGCACTAAGATGACCTGTCTTGAGGTTCTAGAATAGTCTTTCAATAGGGCCCATTTCCTCTGAGTTTAAAAACATATTCACCAAAGAAGACATACAAATAGCCAACAGATATATGGAAAGGTATTCAGTATCACTTATCATCAGGGAAATGCAAATCAAAACCATAATGAGATATTATCATCTCACACCAGTTAGAACGGCTATTAAAAAGACACCAGATAACAAGTGTTGGTAAGGATGTGGAGAAAAGGGAGCCCTCGTGTACTGTTGGTGGGAACGCAAGTAGGTATAGCTACTGTGGAAAACAATTTAGAGGTTCCCTCAAAAAATTAAAAATAGAATTACCATATGATCCAATAATCCCACTTCTGAGGATTTATCCAAGGGAATTGAAATCAGGATCTTGAAGAGTTATCTGTATTCTCATGTTTATTGTGTAATTATTAGAATAGCCAAAATATGGAAACAACCAAAATGTCCATCGTTGGACGAATGAATAAAGAAATGCAGTGGAGGGGCACCTGGCTGGCTCAGTTAGTAGAGCATACAACTCTTGCTCTTGGGGACATGAGTTCAAGCCCCACATTGGGCGTAGAGCCAACTTAAAAAAAAAAAAGAAAGAAAATGCAGTATGTGTACAGAATGGACTATTATTCAGCCTTAAAAAAGGAGGAAATCCTGCCATTTGGGATAACATGGATGAACCTTGAGGGTATTATGCTAAGTGAAATAAAACCAGTCACAGAAGGACAGATACTGCATGATCCCACTGTATGAGGAATCTAAAGTAGTCAAATTCGTGCTTGCTTCAGCAGCACAGATACTAAAATTGGAGTGATATAGAGAGGATTGACATGGCCCCTGCACAAGGATAGCATGCAAATTCATGAAGCATTCTGTATTTAAGAAAAATAATGAAATAAAATAGTCAAACTCCTCGAACCAGTAGAATAATGGTTCCCAGGGTCTGGAGAGGGGTGGGAAAGGGAAGGTGTGGGTCAAAAGGTACAAAGTTTCAGTTATGAAAGATAATTAAGTTCTGAAGATCTATACAACACGGGGCTTATAGTTAACAATATCATATTGTATACTTAAAACTTTGGTAAGAAAACAGATCTTATGGTCAGTGCTCTTTCCACAAGAGAAAATAAATTGTTTCAAAAATGAGTAAAAAAATTCCAAGTCCTGAAATAAAAAAAAAAAAGTCAGACTCCCATTATGTGCCAGACACTTTATATCCATTATGTCAATTAATTCTCATACCTACTGCCTAAAGAAGTTACTGGTAGGAAAACAGACACTCAGAGAACTTAAGCAGCTCATAGCGAGAAAGTGGCAGAGGTAAGGTGACAACCCACATCACCTTCCATTTCTGCAGCCTGAACTTTTTCTGCCTTTTTTCTTGCCCCTGGGAACTTAAAGTTGGGGATGGATAACCCATCAGGATCCTGGGCTCCTACCTCATGTCATATTTTATTTTACTTTTTATTTTATTTTATTTTATTTTAATTTTTATTTATTATTATTATTTGTTAAAGATTTTATTTATTTATTTGAGAGAGAGAATGAGAGAGATCACACGAGAGGGGATAGGGTCAGAGGGAGAAGCGGACTCCCCGCTGAGCAGGGAGCCCGATGCGGGACTTGATCCTGGGACTCCGGGATCATGACCTGAGCCGAAGGCAGTCGCTTAACCAACTGAGCCTCCCAGGCGCCCTTATTTATTATTTTTAAAGATTTTATTCTTAAGTAATCTCTCTACCCAACATGGGGCTCAAATTCCTAGCCCCGAGGTTGAGAGTTACACGCTCTTAGGACTGAGCCAGCCAGGTGACCCTCATGTCATTTTTTTAAAGTTAATCTTAAGCCAGTGTCAAATTCTGGTACATGCATCAATTAGTAATGTCTGGTAATTTATTGCAGTGTAATAAACCATTCCAAAAGGTAGTGACTTTTAAGGGCACAACAATTTTGTTACCTTTCAGTTCTAGGATTTGACTGGACTCAGCTAGGTAATTCTCAGTTCAGAGTCTCTGAGACAAGAATCTATGCTACTATCATAATTTAAAGGGCCCGTCAGGAGTGGAAAAGCTGTGTCATCCCTGTCCCCTTGTTGTGCCTTATTCTTGCTGAGTCTACATACAGGTCCCTGATACTGTGTCAACTCATACGTCCATAACTTTGCATGGAATACCCTTCCATCTACCTGATCAACCTAGCACAGTCCTGTTGATTTTTAAGCATTCAACAGGCACCGCCTGCGCTGCAAGGCGGAGCTACCCAGAGCTTTAGCCGTTTTAAACTATACACTTCAGTGGCATTAAGTATATCCACAGTGTTGTGCAACCATCAAGTTAGTTCCAGAACATTTTTATCACCCCAAAAGGAAATCTTGTGCCTACTTAGCAGTTACTCCCCATTTTGCCGTCTCCCCAGTCCCTGGCAACCACGAATCTCCTTTCTGTTTCTATAGATTTGCCTATTCTTGACATTCTGTATAAATAAAGTCACAGTACGTGGCCTTTTGTGTCTGACTTTTTTCACTTAGCATAACGTTTCCAAGTTTCACCCATATTGTAACATAAATTGGTACTTTATTCCTTTACGTGGCTGAGTCATATTCCATCGAATGGCTACATCACATTTGGTTTATCCTATCAATGGACATTGGGTTATTTCCTATCTCATGTAATCTTAGCAACTCTCCCCTGAGGTGCTTGGACTGTTCCCGTTTTATAGCTTAAAATGGGAGGCAGAGAAGCCAAGCAACACACAAAGCAATATCTATAACTTGAATGGTCAGTCAGTATCAAAGAGCTGAAGTTTATTGTAAGAAACCATAAGCAATAATAAAGTAGGTGTGTAGGTTTAGGCAAATGACTGATAATTGATTTGGTGCTGAGCTATTGATAGATTACAAACCATCCCTTGTTTTGACTGAGGGCTGGGTAGATTTCCTTTTACCTTAAAATATTGCTTTGCTATCAATATTAATTCACATTAAGACCAACTCTTCAATGGTAGAATTGCTTTATAGCTATTAATAAGACTTGAACATTTGGGAAGATATTTCAGATAAAGGTAGGACCTCTGATTTCTAGCTATAAAGCAGATGAATGTCAGGTTCCAATTTTTATTTTGAAATTACAATAGAATCAAAATCTGGCATAAAGCAAAGATTTAATTCCCTCTCCTAGTATGACTACTTCATGGCCTTTGACCATATTTCTAGTTTTGCCTTTAGAAAAATCTAGATAGCCATTGATGATGACCCGAGTTATCCAGAACAAAATGCTCTGAATTGAAATATTTTGTATGTTCTATAATTAATTACGTGGTTGATTGCTTTTTAAAATGATCCCTTTGATTCCATTTTGTAGGATTATTGAACATGGGGAAGGAGGAGGCCTCTCTTGAGGAAGTATTGGCCTATCTCAACCAAATCTACTGTGGGCAAATTTCTATTGAAACCTCCCAACTTCAGAGCCAGGAGGAGAAAGACTGGTTTGCCAAGCGATTTGAAGAACTGAAAAAAGAGACTTTTAGCACAGAAGAGCGAAAACACCTGTCAAAACTAATGCTAGAATCTCAGGTATAAAAGTACCAGCTAATATCAATGGAGTAGGATGGCTCATTTTCTATAAAGATACATAAATATTGAAGAGAGGGAATTAAAGCATTTACTTACCCCAGATATCCCCTTGCCTCAACACAACAGACAATATAACACACACCACTTGGTTCTAAGTAGAAAAAAGTAGATCACCAAACACCAGAGCTACTGGTTCTCCTCTGAGTCAAAATACTTTTTATGTATTTGCCTACTCACTCTCTAAAAGACTGCAAAATCCTTAAGATCTCTTTCTATTACCTCAAGTGATCAGAGAAAGCTATGCATGAAAGCTCTTGGTACAAGTAAATGGAATTGAATCTGTCAGGGCTCGGATCAGGCTCCGGCATGTCAAGATGACAAACTATTCCCAGTCATTTGGATAGTTGGATGGCTTGCCCACATTGATGAGATAGTACTGTAGAGCCGGCTACTAAAACTCAGGGGCTAGGAGGGGTGGAATCGAAGGCCCAGCCCTTGCTTTAGAAGAACACATGCCTTCCCCCCGCCCACCCCCCAGAGGAATACATTCTAAGAGGCTTTCTCTGGGGCTAAGTTATTCTACCACCACGTTATTTTCTCTGCATTCCCACTGCTGCCTGGCGTCCTTGGCAAGGTGTTCCTGCCATGCTCCGGACTAATTAACGCCTGTCTCTGGAGTATGTCATGAAGGGGCATTGCTGCAGCCGCTTGAAGTAGTATAGGGTCCTCCCACAACACTCATAAACGTGTCTGACTTGGACCTGAGTAGCTGGCTCTCTTCCTGCAACAGATGTGTCTGACGTGATGTTCCACAGGAGTTTGACCACTTTTTGGCCACCAAGTTTGCCACAGTGAAGCGGTATGGGGGTGAAGGAGCCGAAAGCATGATGGGCTTTTTCCACGAGTTGCTGAAAATGTCAGCCTACAGCGGGATAACGGACGTGATTATTGGCATGCCCCACCGAGGGAGGCTTAATTTATTGACAGGCCTTCTGCAGTTCCCTCCAGAGGTAAGATACTTTGTCTGATGCACAATTGACTGTAACAGAATAGAACTGATAGTAATAATTCCTTTTAGAAATCCGAGTAAACATCTGCGCAGTTGGTCCAAGAGGTAGCCTAATGAATTGTTGGATAGATCTGGTACTGGGGTTGATTTTCTGTGTCCTCTTATATGGATTCTTTCTTCTCTCGGGGAAGCTAAAGTTCAGTTTGTTTTCTCAAGGATGACGTGAATACATAATTTCTGTTCTTTGAAGCACGCTTCCCTAATTTAATAGAAATCGTTCAAGCAAACATTAAGGTCTGTGCAATTATTTATAATTTTACCTTCCAAGAAGTCCATTTTACCTTCCAATTATGTGCAGAGTTTATACTTAGCATACTGTACTAAAACTAATAATACATTGTTATCCTGGGAGACCACCACATGAGAAGTTTTATAGGTAAGTGGATCTTGGTGTTCCTGTTCCGTCCAACTCAGCTGCTCTATCAGTCTCTCAAAAGACTGGAGAGTTAGGGCTGCAGATTTTTTTTTTTTTTAAAGATTTTATTTATTTATTTGAGAGAGAGAATGAGAGAGAGAGAGAGCATGAGAGGGGGGAGGGTCAGAGGGAGAAGCAGACTCCCCACTGAGCAGGGAGCCGGATGTGGGACTCGATCCCAGCACTCCAGGATCATGACCTGAGCCGAAGGCAGTCGCTTAACCAACTGAGCCACCCAGGTGCCCATGGGCTGCAGATTTAATGTCCGGGAATATCAGAGTGACTTGCAGTTTAATCAGATCGTGGCTGCTATGTGTGGATAAACCTCACTACTGATCTTGGCCAGGAGATTAAAAGTAATTCTAAGTGTTAAAGGGACTATGAGAGTTAATGGAGTGAATAGAGCCCACGGAAGGATGTTTACCCTTAAACCACTAGAAAGTACACATGACGTCATGTCTTGGGGCCAAGCTTTACCACTGTTTCTCGGACCTCAGTTTTTCTCATGCGAGAGAGATTGATAATCAGCTCTAGAAAGACAGTATTTTCGAAAAGGCAGACAACAGAATAAAGTGATTGACAGATGGAGGAATGTCCTTAAACACAGGCAGAAATCCCTAAACCAGAAATTGCATTCCGAAAATACTGCAGACAAAAACATGACTCAGAGATGCTGGATTATAAATGATCATATTTGTGAGAAACATGGATGTACCCATACTAAGTATGTGTGCTCCTATTTGTCAATAGGTCAGTAAGAAGCTTTTGGGTTATTCAAACCATTGGATAAATGAGGATAACATGCTGTTTTTGGTAACTACCTTGGCCTG